ACAAACGAGACAAACAACCATTCACTCTCTCACTCACACCTAGAGACAATTTAGAGTTACCAATCAGCCTAACATGCATGTTTTTGGTCTGTGGGAGGATTACTTTTGGTCCCTTTGGCAGTGTGGGCAGGAGCCAATTCTTTCTGGAAAATTAAATCAGTATCTAGCTCGTCAGCAGAAGGAAGCAGGAAGTGCTCTCCTGGTAGATGCTGCGTTGACTGTGGACTTCAGAAGTGGACAACACCAGCAGATGACATAGACCAAAACCATCAGTGACTGTAGAAACTTTACACTGGACTTCAAGCAACATGGATTTTATATAAGATGTGAGGTGTTGGTTTGTATAAAGGTAAACTTGACAAAAAAAACCCAGCATTTATTATACAGCAGGAACTCCAATTTTAAGTCTGATTTTGAAAGTTGTGTGTTTTCTATTGTGCCTTAAAAAATACATCGACACGGCACACATGCCTTTTGGTTTAAAAAATGTTTTTTGACACGCTGCAATTCCCCTCCAAATCCAGGTGGCGCTACAATAAAAACAACACGGTGTTTTTCAGCAGCTGGGCCTTCTTTACGGCACTCCTCAGCTTGTACGGAAACACAGCGGAAGCTGCTTAAACCGTTAGCAGCCGGCTAGCTGATTTCTGTGTGGTTTTCTTCATTTTGTGTGTTGTAGCACATGCAAAAGAGATGTGGTTTATTTATTTACTGAGCTGGCTGTCGCTGGTCATCCAGATATCTTTCATAACACTAGCAATAGGTAAGTACAAGCTGAAAATGTGGACAGGTGCTAACTACGAGGCTCGCATTTCTGCTTGTTATGATATCGCGGTCAGCAGGTGAAAAAGTATGTCAGGTAAATGTCAGGTAAATGAACTCCGTTGCATAAAACTTAAACCTTTTTACTTGTACGGAGACAGGTTTCTGATCTTATTGTTAAGGTTTCTTTATTAGCTAAGCGTGTACCTTTTAATTTTCTCCGTCATGAGTTTGAGGCATCCTCTTAGTAATCAGTAATTAATCATTAACAAACGTTAAAAGTGTAAAAAGCTCGTAAAGATCAGCCAAAGTAACTCCAACCAGCAGAGTGAGGTGTAAAGGTTGCTGTAAAAGCTGCCTAATGTGAACTAACCTGTTTTTTTTTAATAGCCTAAATAAATATGTTTGTTTACAACTCAGCACGGTGGTTTAGTTGAAGATTTGCTGTGTTTGTCGATAAATACCATAAGACTATCGTAAACATTTTAAAGTTGGGAATCTTTCAGTCTTTGTTGCATGTTAGACACGTACCTGGCCACGTAGTAACTGCAGCAGCACCTGGCAGGCGTTAGTCACGCCCCTTTATATTTTTTATGTATTTTTTTTAAGTGTAAAAAGAAACAGGATCTAAGATATAAACTAAGATATATGCTAAACCTGGGGTCTGCCGCATGTGGCTCTTTGTACCTCTGCAGCGGCTCCAAAACGAACATAAAACTGAATTTTATTTAAATTATTGCTAACAATGAAAATAGTTTTAGCTGATTTTACGTAATGTTCAAATATGTGAAGGATAGTACAAATACAAGACCTAAAACATGCAGACTGCATCATGCTAGTAGTTTGTTAGCCACTTTAAGTCGACTTCCAGTCTCTCAGCGTGATCGTTCTCTCAAAACCACCAGAATGTTTTGGAATATCTTCGACAAGTTGCTGATAAGGAATATGGTAACTCTGATAACACTAAGAATAAAACACAAAAAACAAAGTAAACGAAAGTATTTATTTTCTTTCAAAAATGACTCTTTTTATCGCAAAGGTTGCAGACCCCTGTGCTAAACGAACGCAAAAAGGTACACTAAAAGATCTAAGATATACACTAGCCACTAATAGTGCAACACAATACACCGAACAGCAGCAGCACGAACATGAGTCTTTGTGGGTGGATGAATACGAATGAATGAATACAGCAGCATTAATCAGCAGCATGGATAATCAACAACACATAAACAATCAAAGTTGCATTACAGTGATTTTTAAGTTTGATTCAAAATTGATTACTTATTGTTAAAGTTGTAATGGGTTTTAATACAACTAGACTTATTTTCTTGTTCAAATGTGAAGTGTTGCAAAACTTTAAACTAGTTCACAAGTCACATGCAGATTAATCCCACTCCCCGCCCTCCTGGATGGTTACAATGATCTTTGTCATTTTTGACACATGCATGAAGGCATGAATGGATGTGAAAGTAACTGCATCAGATCCAGAGCAGCTTTGTGTATTCTACAAACTTGAGGCCTTCCTCTTTTGTTTAAAGTAGTTTTTCTTCTTTGACAAATACCGTATTTTCTGGACTATAAGTCACACTTATTTTCATAGTTTGACCAGTCCTGCAACTTAGTCTGAAGCGATTTTATATACGTTTTTTTTTCCTATTCATGACGTAATTTTTGACTGACTGACACGTTACATGTTCATTCATACTGACATGAACCAAAGAGTAAACATTATGAATTTGCAGCTGCGAGAGGGCCCTCTAGGCTTTTGACAACTATATGTTCTTCCTCTGCTGCTAACCCCCCCTCCCAAACATTCACTTAGAGATAACAGAAAAACTTAATATAAATTTCCCCCAAAAGTGATGTGGAGTGAGATCGGTGAATTTACCAGTAACTTGCTTGTTGGACTTGTTATGTTAATGAAACCTGTTCAGGATCCCAGGTTTGTTCTGTGTGTTATTGTTGGTTCAGATTAAACGTCTGTTCTTGCACTTTGTGAAATACACGTCTAAATAAATGCGACTTATACTCCGAAGCGACTTATATATAGTTTTTTCCTCTTCATGAGGCATTTTGTTACTGATGCGACCGGAGTGACTTATAGCCCAGAAAATATGGTATGGCTTCTTTCACGCCACTCTCAAACCATCATTTTTTTTTCTTGTCCAAAACAATCAAACAGAGCATCTCATGAAGTTTAAAGCTTTGTACCCCTCAACCTTTTAGTTTGACTTGAAAAAAGCATCATGTGGTGAGAAAATAAATGTATAAAACAAGAAAAGAAGCCCAGTTATCTTTAAAAAAAAAAGCTGTCTAGAATTATAAAAGTGTTTTTGTGATATTGAAATTGTAAAGAAAAAAGTTTGTCACAGAACAAGTCATTTTCCCCTTTTACAAAAAAGATGTTCGTAATTAAACCAGGTCGTTTGTATGACCAAAATTTGTCATAAATTTGACTCTGTTGTTAGAGCTGCTTGATTAGTGATTTGGTTTGGCTTCTATGTCGATGTTGATCTTTAATAACCTACTTCATAATAACTGCATTGTTTGATTTACACATGTTTCTTTGCTTCATATTAGAGCTAAGGTTTGATTCTCACCATCAGCTGACTGATCTGTCTTTAGTACCAAGAACAGAAAGTTATCAAATACTCAGCACTCGTAATTAAAATTTGACAATATGTTCTTGTTTAATTGTTCTTTAGCTTTCAGCATTATAACAATGAAAACTGTAAAGATGTGCAGAAACAGTTTGTGTATGTCTTGTGAAAGCTTTAGATTAATTTATCCTCTCCAAATGTTTATTAATGTAAAGTTATCAGCTCTATTCTTGATGATGCTAATAGTACTGATCAGGGGCCTCGTGTACAAAAGACTTGCATGGATTTCCTACTGAAACAAGGTGTCCTGTTAAATCAAGAAACGGCGTACGCACAAATCCAGATGTATGAAACCGTGTGCCTGAATCCAAGCGCACTTCCTTTGTACATTCCAATCAGTTGTGAGGGAAAACCCGACACGCCTGAATTTAAATTCACAAATATTTAAATCTGCCCTGCACCTGAGGAATCTCCTCTCTGCACTATGAAAAATGATGTCTACAAGCGGGGAAAAGAGGAACATTGGGGAATGTGAGTTGGAGACACTTCTAAATGAGGTAGAAGCTCGTAAACACATTGTGTTTGGCACCCTGTCCTCTGGGATCAGCACCACGTGCAAGAGGAGTGAGTTGGACAATGTGTGTAAATGCTGTGCGGTCAGAGCAACACACATTCACAGAAAATTAAGAAAAAATGGTCAGACATATTAGGACGAGTAAATGAATTGACTCACCAAGAAGCCACCCATTCCACGCCGTGCCGGCTTGCAGTCTGTTCCCAACCAGGCTGTTCATTAGAATGAATAGATCGTGCGTTGAACCAGGCCACCTCGCCACAATGTTGGTTATTTAATCGCATATAATTTGCACATTGATTGAATGAAAATGCTTCTTGTTAACATAAATGTATTCATCCTGTGATGGTGCTTTTATAGCAGTGTGTGCGCGCGGTCGATATCTCCGATTACATTAGGGAAACCTGCCGCCATTGCAAATTGAGCTTTAATGTCGGCCTGTTCAACTGCATTGTGGGGAAGTTGATATTCCTGGTTGACATACAGATAACTCCATCCCACACAGCTGGCATGGCTCGGCTCAGGGTCCGCTGGCACAGTCCTGTTTGATATGCCAGCTCCCTGTTGCTCCTAAACCCCAGTGTGCTCAGCAGCTGTATGTGTGCAGGCAGCGCACGGCTCCTCGCTGTGTTGCGCTCCAACACCAGCCGCAGCTCCAGCACAGTTCTAGAAGGATTTGCCATCGGAAGCCTAAAACGTCTGATGAGCCAGTCGGCAACGTGGGCCAGCAAATCCTCTCTGTCTCTAAATACATGCTCTGTTTATTTCATTAGTTGCTATATATCCTCTAATAAGGCTAAAACCGTTGTAGGTAAAGGTATTTTCTGCGCCACTTTGTGCATGTTTTTATATTCGCTCATCTAATTTCACACGCGTGGATATATTAATTGTTCGTCATGTGTGTCCAGTAATAGTTTTCACATCAACAACAACACACATGACCTGACTGAACACTGTTGGATTTTTACCTGGATTATTGAGCATGAACTTTGATGTTTTGACCCTCTGAAGTTTTGCGTTAACGAGGCCCATGTCTCAAAGTGTTTTATTTACACGAAAATGTATTTCTTCTCAGTGATTGAAAGAAACTGTTTTTGCAGAGATGTTTACCGTAATATTTTAGACTAAATATTGTAAATGGATTGTACTTATATAGCACCTTTCTATCTTATCAAGACACTCAAAGCGCTTTACACTATAAACTGTGCCCTCATTTACTCATCCACACGGCACTCTACTAGTTCTTTACAAAGCTAATTGAACAAATCATTCTAAAGAGACTAATCAGAGCTTTAGCACATTCACACACCGATGGGACACACGTCGCAGGCAATGAGGCTTTCAGTGTCTTGCCCAGGGACACTTCGGCGTCTGACTGCTGGTGGATTTGAACCCTCAACTCTTACATTGGAGGACGACGCTCTAACCACTCAGCCACAGCCGCCCAACAGAAATAGAAATGTCATGTGCAACAAAACTAAAAATAGAAGGGAATTTATTCAACAATGTGGAAATACAACATAACATAGCTAAACCTTATATTTTTAGAGTGGTAGTAATGACATAAAAAGTCATGTAAAAGTGATGCCACTTTAGTTTGTGTTACTATGAAATATATATATTTATTTTATTTTTTATTTATTTATTTTTTAAAAGGTTTGTCTCGTCATCAGTGTATGTAAACAAATAGTTGGATAAACAATGGCTCATAATGTTCTCAGAGGGATAATACGATCTACTGTTTTACTGAATTCGTGATGCTAATTATTTCTGTTGATTAATAATATGCACAATTTGAACATGGTACATACAGTAAGGAAAATAAGTATTTGAATACCCTCGACTTTGCAAGTTCTCCCACTTAGAAATCATGGAGGGGTCTGAAATTTTCATCTTAGGTGCATGTCCACTGTGAGAGACATAATTTAAAAAAATCCAGAAATCACCATGTATGATTTTTTTAAATAATTTATTTGTGTGTTACTGCTGCTAATAAGTATTTGAACACCTGTGAAAATTAATGTTAATATTTGGTACAGTAGTCTTTGTTTGCAGTTACAGAGGTCAAATGTTTCCTGTAGTTTTCACCAGGTGTGCACACACTGCAGCAGAGAGTTTGACACATTCCTCCACAGATCTTCTCTAGATCAGCCAGGTTTATGGGCTGTTGCTGAGAAACACGGAGTTTGAGCTCCCTCCAAATATTTTCTATTGGGTTTAGGTCTGGAGACTGGCTAGGCCACTTCAGAACTTTGATATGCTTCTTACGGAGCCACTCCTTGGTTCTCCTGGCTGCGTGCTTCAGGTCATTGTCATGTTGGAAGACCCAGCCACGACCCATCTTCAATGCTCTAACCGAGGGAAGGAGGTTGTTCCCCAACATCTCACAATACATCCCAGTCAGGCTCTCCTTAATACAGTGCAGTTACCCTGTCCCATGTGCAGAAAAACACCCCCAAAGCATGATGCTTCCACTCCCATGCTTCACAGTAGGGGTGGTGTTTTGGGGATGGTACTCATCATTCTTCGTCCTCCAAACACGGCGAGTGGAATTAAGACCACAAAGTTATATTTTGGTCTAATCTGACCACAGAACTTTCTCCCATGACTCCTCTGGATCATCCAAATGGTCATGGACAAACTTAGGACGGACCTGGGCGTGTGCTGATTTAAGCAGGGGAACCTTCCATGCCTTGCATGATTTTAAACTATGACGTCTTAGTGTATTACCCACAGTAACCATGGAAACAGTGGTGCCAGCTCTCTTCAGGTCATTGACCAGCTCCTCCCATGTAGTTCTGGACTGATTCCTCACCTTTCTTAGGATCATTGATACGCCACGAGGTGAGATCTTGCATGGAGCCCCAGTCCAAGGGAGATTGACAGTCACGTTTTGCTTCTTCCATTTTCTAATAATTGCTCCAACAGTTGATCTTTTTTCACCAAGCTGCTTGGCAACTGCCCCGTAGCCCTTTCCAGCCTTGTGAAGGTCTACAATGTTGTCTCTGGTGTCTTTGGACAGCTCTTTGGTCTTAGCCTTGTTACTAGTTGGAGTCTTACCGATTGTGTGGGGTGGACCGGTGTCTTTATGCAGCTAACAACCTCAAACAGGTGCTTCTAATTTAGAATAATACGTGGAGTGGAGGTGGTCGTTATAGAGGAGGACTAACAGGTCTTTGAGGGCCAGGATTGTTTCTGATTGGCAGGTGTTCAGATACTTATTTTCTTCACTGTAATAGGGACTTTTTGACAAAGTATTGTTCTTTTTTCTGTGTGATTGCTCATCGCTGTTCATCTTCACCCAGCTGCTGGTTTGTACTACTTGGCTGAACTAATAGAAGAGTACACAGTAGCCACCAGTCGAATAATAAAGTACATGATACTGGTGAGTAAATGCTCGTAGGACACATTTTTAAATTACATTGCAGGAAGATGTTCAGTTAGTTGAGAGCACTCATGTTGAGCTTCTATCTCACTATGTTTGAATGTCTCCAGTTCTCCACAGGTGTGCTGGCAGGTCTCTATGTTTTTGAAGGTTTTCCTCTCTTTATGGTGGGGGTCGGCCTCTTTACAAATCTGGTGTATTTTGGCCTCCTGCGAACATTTCCCTACATCCTCCTGAGCTCCCCAAACTTCATTCTCTCCTGTGGTACGTTCCACATAAACCACTTTTAATGTTGTATTTGTAAAACAGATGCTCTAAAAAAAAAGGTTAATATGCATATTTGTTATTGTCACTTATACATTACAGCTTTATTTATTTATTTTGTCTTTATATTGCAGGGTTGGTTGTGGTGAACCATTATATGGCCTTCCAGTACTTTGCACAAGAGTATTATCCGTTCTCAGAGGTAACTTCACCTCACATTTGTTGTTTTTCATCATGTTTGTCTTTGTTTAATCTTGTTACTTTTGTTTGTGACTGGTGTTAGGTGCTGGCGTACTTCACCATCTGCCTGTGGGTGATCCCGTTTGCCTTCTTTGTGTCACTATCTGCGGGAGAAAATGTACTTCCATCGACCATGCAGCAGGGAGGTAAGAGTCATAACAGACATCTGTTCCGCTTTCTGACAGGATGAGTAGGAGTTAAAAGGTTTGGTATGTTTAAATAATGAGGCTTTCAAATGCTGACGGCACTGGTTTGACTTCATATTCATCAACTTTACCAGGACGACTCTTTCTAGAAATACGGACTAGCACCATATTATGATTAGCTACCAGTTCAGCTAGCCCGGTCAGTAGAGTCAGACATTAGGGTGAATCCTATGTCCTGGTGTCAATCCTAATCTGAGATTTTGAGTGACTGCTTTGCTCTGGATTCAACCTACCAAAGAAATGGGTAAAATATTCCCTTACAAAATGAAACATCCCTTCAAAATGGTTGATAAAATTAATTCAGAATCTTTTTGCATAACTTGACAGGACATGGGTTTAATGGCATTCTAATATGCTGAGTAATGTTATCTATTTCGTAATACACATAAGCATAACATGCTGTATTTGTAACACTTGTAAAGATTGACCATGTTACCAAATTTGCATATTGGAAGAACACTAACGTAGAATCAAACGCATACAATATTTATAATGAAGAAAATAATTTGATTAGTTTCCTTTCCAGTGTAACACTGAGCCAGAAAGCCCTTTTACTTTACCCTGCTATAATATTACCAGGGTTAGGTCCACCTGAACCTTGGTGAATGTGCAAAATGTACATGCTAAATGTACCATATTTATATAGCGCCTTTCTACCCAGCCAGGATACTTGAAGCACTTTACAACACAATCTTTGCATCTATTAACTCACCCATACAGCACTCTGCTACATCTCTACAAAGCTAGTCTGATTAAACCTTTCTATAGAGACTAATGAGTGCTTTGGATCAAATTCATTAACTGATGGGACACGCATCGAAGGCATTAAGGGGTTCAGGGACACATTGTGACTACAAATTGGTGGAATTAAACTCCCAACTCTCTTATTGGAGGAGGACTGCTCTCACTCAGCCACAGCTCATCCAGAGTGTAGGGGTAAGGATGAAGGCCATTTCTTAGCATTATTCTTAACCCATGACCCTTATTTTGAAGTTGTGAAGACTAGCTGTTAACTTTGCAACTTGGGATACAGTAGTCCCTCGGTCATCGCGGGGGTTACATGCCCCCCGGCGATAGGTGAAAAACGGGATGTAGGAACTCTATATATTTATTTTAGTATTTATATGTATTTTAAGGCTTTATAAACCCTTCCCACACACTTGCAATGTTCTAAACTCTTAAACCTACGTCATTTTAACACGTACTGTACAGTACTACAAAATTTTACTCACCAGCTCTGCAGACCAGCAGCTTGGTTCCGGTCCGGCTCGGTTCTGGTCCGGCAGACATACCCTGCAGTGACGAAGTCCACCACCCCGTCCAAATTGATGTGCACGTGGATAGTTGAGCTTCAGGAAGCTTCAGGATTATTGTTACTTGCCTGCCAGTTCTGTGAGCTTCATATAAAGCGTAGATTTGGGTTGCAAAACGTTCCCTCCATTTTGGCACTGTTGGCTTCTGGGTAGTGTTATTTCTTTTGACTGGCCTTACAGTATAGGCTTATTGAAAGAAAACTAGAAAATGGCGGCACCTGTCCAAAGTATTTTTTCATTAACTTGTTATTCCGTACCATCCCATTCACGTAATATTAAAGTTGACAATCGTTGAAAAAACGTGAAAGAGCAAGTCCACGAAAGTCGAACCGCACAGTAGCAAGGGACTACTGTACTCCTTCAAGACGTCAGTACTCCACCTTCACCTTGGGGCTGCAGTGGCTGACTGGTAAGAGCAGTCATCCTTCAGTGCTAGAGTTGGGGTTCGATTCCACCAGCAGTAACATGCCCAAGTGTCTCTGGGCAAGACACTGAGCCCCTTATTGCCTCTGATGTGTGTCCCATCAGTGTATGAATGTGATAAAACACTGATTATTATTTGTATAGATCTAGTAGAGTTCTGTATGAATGGGTAAATGAGGGCACAGATTGTAAAGAGCTTTGAGTATCTGGATAAGATAGAAAGGGTCTATACAAGTACAGTCCATTTACCATTTACTTCACTTTCTGCAACATCAGTGCAGCATGAAATTTACTTTAAGACTTCAGATCATTGCAATGTCAAACTGATGACAGATTTCTTTCTCTCCTTTTTTTTTTTAGATGATGTGGTGTCTAATTATTTCACCAAGGGCAAACGGGGCAAGAGGTCTGGGATCCTCCTTGTGTTCTCTTTCCTGAAGGAGGCAGTACTGCCCAGCCGACAGAAAATGTACTAAGGAGCTCAGACTTGGGGTGCAGCCTCGGGGGCTAGGGATGAGTGAGTGTCATGTGGGTAAAGAACACGGGGACGCAGGAAGAACAGTAGACATTGTCGATGGAACAAAAGGAGGAGAAAAAGAGCCCCTAAAAGGATGGACCAATAAACTTCCTGCTTCACGAGCAGACCAGTTTACACATGTTCAGCTTTGTGTTTGGACTGATTGCCAACAACACCTACTGGAGAACTCTTAGTGAGGGTCTTGTCTGTAGCTCAACACTTTTTGTAATATTATGTTGACTTCATTTCTTTTTAAGTTTTAGTGTAGAAATATTTGGAACAAGTGTTAAACAAAAATAGACAGTTTTGGCTCGGGCAGATACATCATGATCAGCTTTGTTGTTGAGAAGGAATCTTATTTGTATGTTTATTTGAATTATTTTACAAGGTAACATTCAAACTACATAAGGAAGATGTCCATAAACCTATAAGCATTCTGTTCTGATGAATAGAATTGGTTGAAAAATGCTAAATGAACAGCAACAACTGCAAGTCGGCTGCAAACCAGTATGCAGACAACTCCAAATGAGCCCGTCTGCATGGAGTACAGTGCAGTATTGTTCCAGTATAAATACACTTTGTCTTGCAACAACACATTGAAGAACAGGAGGTATTGTAATTTGTTTTCTTTAAAACTGAGCTATAAGGAATCCCTTCCACATCATCATCGTTTGGCCACAAAAACAATCATTTTATCTTCAGAACATTCATTAATTACCAGCACTGTGGAGCGGCTACCTGTTTGTCTTGTTTATGGATTGTCTGAGGTGGGGAAACAATTACAGTAAAATATTTTTTTGTACACCTATCAATGAGTAAACCCAACATTTAAGGCAAATCTAAACACTTCTGAAGATCAAACCTGTGCAATGACTTTTTTATAGAGATTTTGGGGGGGGGGGGGGGGGGGGGCTGAAGACATGAAAAGTAGTTTTATGAAAGAAAAAAACTTAAAGGCTGACATTTTTCTTACCATTTGCAAGGTGTGATTTATCAAAAACAAGTATACACACAACTGTGAATAAATTTTGTTGAGCTAATTTGTGGATTTTTTTTAACTTTAAATATATAAATGGTATGAGGGTTCTGACCTTTATCTACTCACCTATAGACTGTTGACCTTTACGCCGTCACAATGTGTTTGTGTGACCAGAATAACGTTTTTCCAGTCCAGTGTGGGTTGGTCACCAAGGGAGCACTGGGTTCATACCAGTGTGCACTTTGACCCCCACTGAGGTGTGAAGTGCTTCATGAAAAAAAGACAAAATCCACAACGGGTGCTCGCACACAGACACCTCTTCAGCTGACAGGCCACGGCTCATGGTTCACACTTTCATGCTGTTTACGAGCCCCCACCTGGATCTCCATTTGTTTCCCTGGGGGAGATGAGTGAAAGTGCAGAGGTACATCTGTGACAGGTGACCCAGTTCATGCAGGTTTTCTCACCTTTCACTCACCCAGGTGCTCGCCATGCCTTTGTTCGTCTATCATCTACAGTGTGTGGCATTTTTGAGTGTCACTAAGGCGAAATTGTGGAATGGCTGAATTTAATGTAACAGATGGTTCTTCTTTGTATCCTTTAAGCAAACCTTTGGTATAAATTCATTATATAAACAGCCTTATTAAGGGAAGGCTGAGATTGTCGTCATTGTAGGTTCCCATACAACGGTGAAATTAGTTCTCTGCAATTAACCCATCGCACGTGAGCTACACCCAGGTGGAGCAGTGAGCAGCTATGTAAGCACCCAGTGAGTAATTGGGGATTGGGTGTCTTGCTTGGAGACACCATGACGTGGGAATGGCTGGGGGACTTTCTGGTCCCAAGTCAGCTGTCCTACCTCTACCCCATCTCAGCCCCTAAGGTAGAGGTAGGACGGCCGATATTGAAGCCCTGGGCCGGATTTTAGCAGGGGCTTACAGGGGCTGCAGCCCGGGGCCCCGGCATTTCAGGGGTCCCGAAGGATGTTTTATGTTTTTGTGAATTGATAGTGTCAGAATTTAATCAATGACTATGATGATTTTGACAGTACCGATGAAAGATGTTCCAATTTGTTCTGGAAAACGTTCATCTTGAATGCTTGCTTGTTATTGGTCCACTTTTGACGCATCTTACGCATTGGGGAGGAGCGTCAGGGAATATTATTTTACAATGGCAGACAACAGTGTTTGTGGTTCTAGTTCCTCCAAATAAGATGAATGCAGAAGTGTCATTAATAAATGGAAATCTGTATTTTGTTCTTCATATTTTTCAAGATGTTCTCTGTAAAAACCTTGGTCTATATGTATATATATATATATATATATAGGGCCCCCATATACAGTATTGACTCCAGCCCAGGGGCCCCCATCCTCCTAAATCCGGCCCTGTTAAAGCCAGTTGCATATTACAAACGGTTCGGTAGGACCTCTGGGGTTTAGCATCCTCTGGTTTCATTGTGTTAGCAGCAAATGTTTTGGTCAATTTTGACTTTATCACGATGCCCTCTGACATTATGATTAAACCCACTCATGTCTGATAAAATCAGGGTCTGTGGGAATTTGGAAGCGGTTATATACTTTGGCACCTTTCGTTCTTTGAGGTTTTCCGATGGAGTTATTGGTGCCATACAGGAAGGAGTTGGTTCAAAGAAATACTATAAATGTCAGAACCTGACGTTTTATTCCCCTAACTTTGATTTTAAAGGCTGAAACACATTGGGGGTGTATTTTAATGCAGCTTCTCTAAACTTGTCAGTCATTTTCAGCTCTAGATGATATCCTGTCAGTAAATAGTTGGACACTCAGTGTCCAGGCTCCAGGACCTCAGCCAGGTGCATGGCCGCCTCTGTCCAGGAGGAGGTGCTCCGTCCCTGAGGGCATCCTCGATGCTGGACCTTTTCGATGTCCAGTGGCTCAAAAGCCTGCGGTGTGGTGATCCTGGAGGGGAAGGCTCTGGGAAAGAACACCCTCTCAACAACATCTAGAGGCAAGTCGGGAGCGGGATGAGGCACACTGCCCCACTTGGTGATGTACTGAAGCTTCTGGGTGCTGCTGTCCTTCCACAAGATGACTCTATCCCTGAGATCTGGCTCTTTGGGGTGGTTCTCTGGCTGGAGGCCCATGAAGATGGTCCACGGACTTTGGAATGAGGCTGCAGGTTGCAAAGTGCTGGCAGTCCTGTCTCGCTCAGACCCCTCTGGCTGGCACTTGAGATGTTTCGGTTTAGAGGTGATCTGGTCTGGTAAGAGACACTGACTGTGGTACTTGCTCACCTGCACCCTGGGGGGGACATCCTTCAGCAGGGGCAAGCCTTTGTTCTTCGCCCACGCTGCCATCTTCTCATCAATAAGTGTCTAATAAATGGAGAAACTATTTAAAGTTGTATGTTTGCATGTAAAAATTCATGATGTGATAAATACAAGATTTTTATCAGCAGATATTTTACTCTTATGTTGGCATGTAAATGTTTTGCTTTCATTCAGCCATTACAGTTATACATTTTTCTAAAATACGTCAGTATAATTCACCTTTTTATTGAGATTGTTCTGTTTGATTATATTCACGAGGTCTCTGTATAATGCTTGGGCTTGCTTCCTCTTCTCCATTTCTCTGGTCTTATTAGCCAGCCACTCACAGTTCTTTAGAAACCTGCATACAGACAGAAGACTTGATTAAAAATGAAACTTGAATATGAACTAAAACTCATTAACAGAGCTTTTTATCTTGGTGTTAGCTGACCCTTTAGCTCGATACCTTGCTACTTCCCTGTGGCACCAGATGCGGGCCAAGTCCAGAGGAGTAAATCCCATGTTGTCTTTCACCAGGACATCTGCTCCGGCCTTCACAAGGGTTCGTGCACATTCAAGGTGGCCCTCAGAAGCAGCCAGGTGCAGCGGGGTCTGGCCTGAAACTGTAGTACTAACAAAAATATTTTCATTTAGTTTCATACCGTTAGTTCCTATATCGTCTTACAATGTTTTTAGTCCCTAATAACATTTAGTCTTCCTACTCCAAACATGTTTTTTTTCAACATTTTTATTTAGCTAAAATAGCTTTAAAGTTCGAAGATCTACAAGCATTCTTGGTCAAAAAAGTTTAGCATTTTTAGTTCATTTGAGTACAAAGGAATTCAGAATACTGAACTAATACAACTGAATATATTCCAGAGAAAAGCCCATACACGTTGACATCGGCGTCGTGCTCCAGCAGGTATCTGAGGCAGGTGTACGTGTTGGGAGATCCTCGAGAGGATAGAACCATGTGAAGGGGTCTGCAACCCTGGGAGTCACTCTCATTGATCCACCGTGGTCTGGACTCCACCAAGTGTTGGATAGTAGCCAGGTCTTTATAAAAGCTGGCAGCATGGAGCGCTGGCAGACCCTGGAGAAGGAAACGTGTGCTCAGCAACCTGTTATTTTCTTCTGTTTGAAACCTACCAATCCTGCGAAAATGTAAATACCTGTACAGTGATACCATTATGCCTGTTTTGCACCAATAATTTCAATGTTGGAGTAAAATACACGTTATTTCTAACTTTACCGAGATCTGCCTGCATGCATGGATTTTAATGATCTAGACAGCAAAGTGAAGATGGGCAATAATTCTTATAAAATCATCTAGTTTGTCAGGAGCAAAAACTAAAAAAAATGTTTAGCCAGTTTGATTAATGGACTACATTGGAACATTATTACATTACAAAACAATAGTTAAAAATATATCTTAAATTTTTTTCTGTATTTTCTAAATGCAGGAATAGGATATCGGGCTTTTAAGATTAAGCTAAGCCTTGGTCCATATAATGGTCCTAGGGTCAAAAGCAGTCAGAGGTCTCCTCATTTGAAGTTGCAGTTCTCTATTTCTGGGTCATGAGCTACTTGTACTGTACTTGTACTTGTACTTGTACTTATTTATGTGTTTGATTACTTTTAAAAAGTGTGGAACAATTTTAACCCTGCTCTGATTTAGTTACATTTTACATTCAAGCGGCCAGATTATTGTGTGCGTTTCTTAAGTGGCCTTGATCAGTGATTACCCGGGGTTTGTGATTTATTTTTATTTATATATATATATTTTAATTTTGAAGACCAAGATCCATGAAAAACCTGACACAGAACCCAAGAGATGCTTCATCCATCCAATCATCATTATCATTATGTGAAGTCTTCTGCTAATAGGTCTTTGGAAAGTACCTTACTGGAGATAAATTACTATTTTATGCATCAAAATAGGTTTTCTTAAGTGGCCACCGTTTCAAATTAAAACTGTTTTATTGCTTTGCTACATTATATTTACAACACGAGTTTGTCACTTGAGTATTAAAAGCCTTTTGTACCTGAATGATTTATTGACTAGAGATGTCTAAAAAGGAATTAATGAGTTCCCTATAAATAAATGGTTAAGTGCTGCACTGAAAACGAGTAAAAAGCCAACAAATGTCCGAAAAGAGGAACAAAAGAAAACCAAACTGAATATCTAGCTCAAGACCACTTTAGAAGTCAAAAGGTGTTTTTGTTTGGGAGCAAAACATGAAGAACTGAAGCATGGCTCAAGACTTTTGCACAGCACTTTCATCACTTCTTCGCGGTGAAGAGGTTAAACACGATCTTTGTACCTCCTCGATTATCTCTGGACTCACAGCACCGACATCTGGCAACAGCTTCTCACCAGAAGCAACTCTGGGGGACAATTTCCTGCAGAAACGACATGACATAAACAGATAGAGCTAACACTGTTGTTAGCTAACAGGCTAATGGCGCGCCTTGAAACGCTTCATAAAACAGAACATAACATTCAAAACTATGAGTTCAGACCTTCAGCGTTATAAGACATTTCAACTCTGGGCTTTAAAACGTTAAAATATTATCTTACCGGGTTTTACATCTTCCACGTCTTCGTTTTTTGTTCGTGTTCACGGGTTTCATGGTTGCCATGGAAACGTAGCAACAAGGAAGTGATCATCTGTTATGCACCATCTCCTGCGATGCTGTGGGACGTCACCCTCAGACTGTGTGTTGAAGGGACTCTCAGCTACTACCATATTACATTTTAGATCAATATCTATGAAACTGATCGATTTATTAATGTTAGTGGCCACCTTGACTCCAAAAGTTAATCAATTGTACACGACTGACTTTCTAAGAACTAAAGTGATTACTTTCTAAGAACTTATTAAGTTTTAATAAAATCTGTCCAATGGGTGATTGAATATTTTGCTAAATCAAACAGAAACTCTTCTTGCATAATGAGTATTGAGTATTTGTGAATGATTCTCAGATTAAAACTTTAGTGCAATATGTGTAAAATTCACTGAATTGAAAAACTTTTTTTTAATTTATTAAATTAAATTAATTTATTTATTGTTTTGTTTTTGTGTTTTTCAAGCTTGTTTGGCTGTGGTGGCCCTCTTGGATTGGATTAGCTCCAATGTTACTCATCTGTAAATGTACATACCCAATAGTTTTTACTTGAGAGTTTCAAAGACTGTCAATGATTCATGAAACATTTTGCTAACAGTCAACTCCAAATAGTTAAAAATAGAAACATTTTAAACAAGGGTAGCACAATCTGTTAACACGTGTTGGGAATCAGTTCTTACCACTACCATGCTAAATTTGAGCTCATTATCTGTAAAACTGCTCGAGTTAAAGTCATGTTTGTGCTTTTTATGGCCATTCGGCTGTGACCACCATCTTGATTAGGGCTGACCCTAAAAAAAATCACTTATAGATGTACATGATGTAATGACAACTTTTTGTAAGTTCTGCTAGAATTCATCCATTTTTGTGAGGTGCATGGGCGATAGATAGTCAAATACGTTATTGCCCCCTTTCATCTTTCAAAACTAGCAGAAAGAACACCTCAGCAGTAACAGGTAGAGTTTTACAATAGCTGTAATCCCAGTGGATTATAAAAACTGGGAGGGTGATTACTGAATGTAGGCAGGTGTGCTGATTACAGAGGAGGTACAGGTGTGAGTGAAACTAGAACTAAGGATATCAGTGACTGAGACACAAAAACAATGACCACATAAGAATCATCAGTAACAAAAAAATAAACATGATGAGTATTTAATTTTATATTGTATGTGACAAAGCCTTTGTGACTTATATGCAATATTTTTTTACAAGCTGAAAAGTAGGCAGCCTCGTTTATACCTTTCAACAGCATGGTTTTTAAGACATACAGGTATGAAGCCCAATTTTAAGGTTTAAGGGTTCTTTATTTGTCATTTGCACCTCATGTGGTACATGTGGTGGAACAAAATTGTGTACACATGGTCCCAGTTACATCCAATAAAAGTATAAATTGTAAAGAAAACAGTAATAAGATTTAAGAAATGAACTAAAATACACTAAAATTAGAATACACTAAGCACTAATAGTACAAAAACAATACGCCGAACAACAGCAGCACAATTTTCGTTCTGGTAAAGCTAGAATAAAGCACTGTTATGTCTGCAGCTTATTAAGTAGCACGTCAAAATAATGTATTAGTCTTTAGAAAAGTTGCTGCAGACACAGAAAGGAACACTTCCAGCCTCCACCACTGCTCTCTCCATATGATCCACATCCTTGCGTGCTCATATTGGCAGTGCGTTTGAATTGCTCACTTGCACTAAAGCAAATCAATTCTGTCGGAGCCGTGGAGACTTCAGGGGATTCATTTGTTCCAGTGCACTCCAGACCTGCCGCCGATGTGACGCTGGTGTGAACTGGGACGGTTATAATCTCATCTGAGCAGAGGGGTCGATATTCTCGCCAGGCAGCAGGTCTCCCTGATCACAGCTATTGAGCATTTGACCCGTTACTGAACTGGATGTGATGTGCCGCACCTCGGCGAAGAAAATAAAGTCATAACAGGAGTACTGCAGTATGAGTTTGTAGTGCTGAACTAGGTCTTACAAATCTCAAATACAGATCACTACAAATGAAAAGAGTGTGAATTTTAAATTGTTGAATACATGTTTTTCTTCTTATAAAAGCTTAACTTACCTCAACATAAAATATCCCGGTCAAATTGGATTTTTTTTTCAACAAATTTCTCTTTTCCACCAACAAAAACCTTCAAAATAAAATCAATAAAACAGTGTTTAAACATCCATCCATTATCTTTACCCGCTTCTTCCTTTTCGGGTCGTGGGGGTCACTGGTGCCCATGTCCAGCTGTCACTGTGCGAGGGGCAGAGGACACCCTGGACAGGTCTCCAGTCCATCACAGGGACACATAGAGACAAATGAGACAAACAACATTCACTCTCTCACTCACACAGGGACATTTTATATGTCAAAGCTTTTCCCACCATTAGCTTCTGAGTCCTTTCAATTCAGTTTATTTATATAGCGCCAAGTCACAACAGAAATCGTCCCCAGGACACTGAACAGAAACATTCATATGTAAAAATAATAATTTAACATTATTTATCTGAGGAGCAGACTGCTTTGACTTTAACTTCAACACAGACTCTCATCTTGAGCAAGCATGAAGGCGACAGTGGAAAGGAAAAACTCCCTCAGGAGGAAGAAACCTTTAACAGAACCAGGCTCAGGACAAGCGGTCATCTGCTTCGACCGGCTGGGTTTGGTAGGAACAGATACACAATGGCAGGTCAAGAATCACGTTAAGATCGAAATAATTTCAAATGAAAACTATTCAGTTTTAACAATTCATTTAAGGAAGTGAGGTCAATTTGTCCTCTAGTAGTCTAAGCCTATATCAGCAAAACAAGCCAACTCTAACTATAGGATTTATTTAAAAGGAAATACTTAATCCCAGTCTTAAAACTGGACAATGTGTCAGCCTCATGGACAGAAACTGGAAGTTGGTTCTACAAGAGAGGAGCCTGATAACCGAAAGATCTTCCTCCCATTCTGCTTTTGGAAACTCTAGGGACCACAAGTAAACCTGCAGTCAGAGAGCGAAGTGCTCTGTTAGGAAAATATGGAACAATAAGATCTGTAATATAAGATGGAGCTAGGTTGTTGAGAGCTTTATAGATTCGAAGTAAGATTTTGAATTCAATTCTGGACTTGACAGGGAGCCAGTGGAGAGAAGCTAAAACTGGAAAGATATGATTTATCCCACTAACTCCAGTTAAGACTCTGGCAGCAGCATTTTGGGTTAGCTGAAGACATTTTAAAGAAGTATTTGGACATCCAGATAACAAACCAAGATGGCTACCACAGCTAATTGACTATAGCAAACATAAAAATGTCTATAACTCAGTTGACTGTACAGATACTGAGCTAAAACTTGGTGTGGTAGTACCTGAGACTGGTCTCCAACACAGAATCTTAGTTCTCTTGTATCGCACAAAATATTTGTATGTAAGTTTGGCGTTTAGTTGAGTAGTGACTGTGCTGTTGTCAGTTAGAAAGAGTAAAATACTGAACTCCAAAATTGCACCATTCTTTCAAATAGTCAACAAATAGTCGAACTGCAGAATGAAACTCTGGTTTGTCTTTTGTCTTGATGTCCTACCCCAAACCTCTTGAAAACTTTTTGGAAGTGCTCCTTGCAACACATTCCACATTTAACACCCTATTAAACTCTTAGTTTTCTAAAGTTTGTTATAGATTTTCAAACTCATCACAAACCACTTACTAGCTTGCAGCTTTCCACCACATTTACCAAGTTAGTAAAATTAATATTTCATGACTCAGCCATCTTGTTCCATTTTAATTTGTCACTTCTCTCCATCAAGACTTCTAATCAATGCGTCTACATCCTTTGGTTGGCTGAAAATTCATATTTGATTTAGTTCTTTAGAAAAGTGACCTCGCCTTTCACTCTCCATCAGTCTCTGAGTCCGTTGCGAGGTCAAGGATGGGCCATGAACTCTTGGCTTCTTGCTGTAGACGTCCATCCCCCTCCCCCCGGGGCCCTCACCTTCATCGTTACTCAGCCCCGCAGCTGGTGGCGCAGAAACGTGTGCACAGAGAGAGGGAGCACAAGTGAAGCTCATGTTTGTGTGCAGCTGGTGGTGTGTCTTAAACATTTGCGGGTCTGCGTGTATGTGTGTATCGCTTAATAATACAGTATGAAAGCAACACAACCCCACTGTGACCTGAGCTCGTTCCTTTGACCTCAGCCACCTCTCAGGAGACCTGCAGGAACCTTTTTGCTGTAGAGCTCTTTTTCTTGTTTGACTTTCAGCACAAGTCCCCCGACAAAGACCCCAACACGACCTCTGTCTTGGGACTGGATGTGTCTCTGAGCTTAGTCATGAATGTAAATGTAAAGGTCTTCCATGAAAAGTTATTAATTTGGAGGCAACTTACAATAAATTCAAATCATTTTAACATTGTTCCAGTTCCAGTTGCATGTTGTGTTACAGACTTACCATCAAATCGGTGCATGTAAGTACAGGGTGGGGGGATCCATGCATTGTATACAAGTCATGCAGTTGGTGCAATGCGATTAGCCACAGGCTAATCAGCGCATTCAAAACCTGCTTAGCACTGGAATGAAAATGAGATCATATCCCTGTAGCCTTGCGGCAAGCTCTCTCATTGGTTCATAAACCATCCACTCACACACCATCTGCTTTTATTGGCTCTACGGCATAAGCTCCTGCACAGCAAGTGGCACCTAACCAGACACAAGGCACAAAGAGGTGCAGGGGTGGATTGGGGTGCAATCAACAACTTGAAGATTTTCAGGAAGTTCTGATTTATTGTCTATTTTTGTCCATTGTAATGCTCTACAGTTTAATTCTGGATCACATACTGTTTTTTAAGTGTTTGAAGCATTCTTACATTCTTTGAATAAATACATTTTGTCCAACTTGTCGCATGCCAATTTGACGCAAAGGTCGTACGCAGTCTAAGTTGGAGATGACTCTTAGCTACAACCACACTAAAATATGAAATGAGTTATCTGGAAATTTGACTGAGTCAGGTCTTGAATCGGGTTGTTAATTCATGCACATCCAGTGATTACTTTCTGA